TAGCTTCAATTTGATATAGGGGGGGGATTGAAGCCAGTGCATTTTAGTTTTTCTGAGTTATGAGCAGAAGTACTCAACACTGAAGCTATTGAAAAACGCTATTTGGTGTAGAAATTTCAAGACTTTAGCTAAAAGGGAAATATTGAAAAATTACAAACATAATTATCGAAAATTTGCCGTTTTGCAGTTGTTTTTGTATTTTTTAAATATTTTTCTTTTCTTTTCAAGTCTTGAAATTTCCACACCGAATAGCAATTTTCAATAGCTTCAATTTGATATATAGCCCGACGTTTGGGGTCAAGTATTTCTGCTCATAACTCAGAAAAACTATTTTGGCTTCATCAAATCATAGGCCTTCATCATAGCAGTTAGCCTTCCAGTTTATTTATAGTTCAATGGTTATCACAAATATATCTCAAAACATTAATAATTCATGTGATGAGTAAATTAGCCAACCATATTGCTTTATTTTGCTCACATGATAATCCTGGATATCTAGTGAAGTATATTGATCCTGTCCTAGGACTGGATAAAAATTAATTCAGTTCTTTGGACTGCATCAAAATTAATTCAACCCGCTTCAAGTAGTTATTTATTCATCAGAGTGGGCAGGAGGGTCCAGATTAACACCCTGTTTTCATAGCAAAGCTACAAAGTACACTGTTGAAACGTTGGAATCCTCTGATTATATTTCGAAGGCTGACGAGTATCAAGAATAAAGCCCCAGTGAAACGAGGATGAGAGTTGACGAGAGAATTACCTGATGAGGGTTCCAATTCTCGCTCGCGTTCAAGTGTTTGACTGCCAACTCTCAATGACTTTGAGCTGATTCAAACTTTGATGAGAATTGACGAGAGTTTTGTTCGTTTGATAAGTAATATCCAGTTAACTTTCATCAACTATCAATTGATGCAACTCTTGTTCTTGTTTAACCGGGCATGAAAGTTGAGAAAGCTCTCATGCAAACTCTCGTTTGCCAACTCTCATCGCTTCTCACCCTCGTTTAACTAGAGAACTTGAGGATTTGGTATAGGTATAAGATTTGGGTTGGATTTAAGAATTGGGTTGGATTTAAGAATTGGGTTGGGTTTAAGATTTGGGTTGGGTTTAAGATTTGGGTTGGGTATAAGATTTGGGTTGGATTCAAGAATTGGGTTGGGTTTAAGAATTGGGTTGGGTCTAAGAATTGGGTTGGGTTTAAGAATTGGGTTGGGTTTAAGAATTGGGTTGGGTATAAGATTGGGATAGAAGGAGGGTGAGGATTAAGGTTACTGTGAGTTGAGATTGGGATTATATCAAATTGTGTTGTAAACATGAATATAAGATTCTTCTCCTGTGTCTAGGTTGTACAACTTCATCCCTCTACTGTGTTGGATCATAAACCTGAGTGGGTGTTGTACAACGAGTTTGTTCTGACGACAAAGAATTATATAAGGACCTGTACAGAAGTCAAACCTGAATGGTGAGTGGGGTGTTACCTAGAGCGGGGCGGGTGGGGGGGGGGGGGAATGGAGGAGTGTATACCTCTCAGCAACCTTGACTAAATGTTCTAGAGGTCCAGTAAGAGAATACCTTATTGGTCTAGTGTTGCTACGGGAGAAAACATATGCAGTTAGAGTCAAACTGGAAGCACTCCTCAAATGCGACTGAGGTGAAATTTAAAAGACACTGCATAATGCCATTAATCAAATCCCGGTCACAGAGGGGAAAGGCTCATACACTAACCACCGCGAACAAAGACTATCGAGCATGTTCGCGCCAGCCTTGAAAATAGTGCTATCGCAATGCCCACAATATTTCATATGAAAGCTTTTGTATCAACTGAAACTATCCGTAAATTAAATTAATCCAACTTCGATTATTTCTAAACTTGTGCCAGGTTGGTCAAGGTGGCTCCACAATATTATGACATGAGAAATTTCCCAAATTGTGAAGCAAAAAGAATTATGGAACGTGTCATTGAAAGACTTACGAGAGGACGTTAGAACGGCCTGACTGCTTTATTTCTCATGGATATTGCTGAACACTATATCCTTTGTAATATTGTGTATCACAGGGTACACCGCATGTTCTGAGAGGGTTCGTAGGTTCACGTTTGTATTAGAGAGTACATTGCATGTTCTGAGGGAAATTCTAGTCTAAACAGCTTTTGCAATAAACAATCTTACATGCATTTCCCGACTTCAGTTTAGGGTAGAAATCATTTTGTATAAAACGAGTTATTTAAAGCCTGTTTTCCATTCTAAACATATCGTACCGAAACATGGCGTGTGCCTTCGTGTTTGAGAGCATTTGAATGTTCAGACACAATACTATACAGAAGTCCATCTCCATTGTTGGGGGGACTGCTTCATGGGAGGGGGGAACTGCTTCTGTTTACGGTACTTGCCGAGTGACGAATCATGACGAATAGCGCTTACGCAAAAAACAATGGAGATGGACTTCTGCATAGTATTCTGTGCTTCAGATGAGGGTACATCAGTGAGACATATACTCTGAACATTCATAACTTATTTACTCGTTCACATCCATTAGAAGAACAAAATCGCACGTAAACGGGACTTAAAATGGAACTAAGGACAAAAACGCAACTGTACGTTTCGGTATATAGCCTGCGTGGCAGGCCCTCAGTTTTATGGGGGGCCTGATTTGCAATGGGCAGATCCTGCCCGTTGCAAATCGGGCCCCCCATAAAAGTGGCAGGCTAGTTTCGGTACGATTGAATTGGAAAACAGGTACGCAAATTCTACGTTAGATAGACATGAATGTGTTGCTTTTGACAATGTTTAATGTTAACAAATTGAAATATTAACAATGCCAGTACTTGAACAATTTCTGTGATTATCTAGCGCTTAGTGCCATAACTACATCATCGTGCATAAATAGTTACATCAAATTCGTCTCTGTTGTACAGAGTTTATACGTGTCTTTAAGAATCCAGTGTTCTTATTAATCAATATGGCGAAATTCAATCGGTCAAAATGGCGTTAAAATTTCAATGTTTGTGCCGGAATTAACGAGTACAATTGTAACAAAGTGTGTGGATTATTTCAAAATTCACGCTTTTCGCTGTCCTTGGTCTGTAAATGAAATTTGGTTGAAAGAGTTGGGTCAAATTCCCAAACTCGCTCAACTTTTTGCTCATGAAAGTTATTTACCAAATCTTTGAGAGATATCGAAATTGATCTAGCTTCGCTCTCTTGGCAAAATTCATAACTCACTTACTTAACATAACTTACAATTCCAGCAAAAAAGGAAATCTTATCCATGGTGTATATAATCGAACCTGCGCAAAATTAAATTCTGCTTTGTGCTTGCAAATAGTTTCATAAAGTTTGCCCTTTTTCTTCCCTCGTTTTGCCAGCTTGTTGTTCTTTCTCGGTATGATTTTGTTGTTTCTCTGCTTTCTCGTCTGAAAAAAGAAAAACAAAAACATTACTAAACCATGAGACCAGCTCGTCTTATTTGTGGAATTGGATACCCATTTTTTGTGGAATTGTGGAATTGGTGTTGCTCAATGGTTAGAGAGCCCTGGTATGTTAAACCAGAGACATAGGCGTACCGGGCGGGGGGGGGCGGTAGCCCCCCCAGTTTTTTGGGCAGTCGGGCAATATTCGATCAACAGTCGGGCAATTTTGGTTTGCAATAAAAAAAAATGGGACAAATTCTGTCAATTTTGTCTAAAATTAAGTCAATTTTTTGGAAAATTTTGTGATTTTTCGAAAATTTGTGCTGTTCCGAAAAATATTGGTTGTCCGGAAAATTTTTTTGACTCCTAAAATGGTACACTGACCGAAATTTTTTTGGCGACGGGGGGGGGGGTTTCCAAAATACTTTTTCCGGAAAAATTTTTTTGGTACTAGTCGGGCAATTTTCTTTCCGCCCCCCTAATTTTTTCCTTCCGGTACGCCCATGACCAGAGACCTTGGTTTCTTGAATTCCTTGTTGGGGACACTCAGAAAACATCCTTGAGCAGATTATTTGTCTCTATATGGAAAGTCGCATTTTACACTGGTTAGGACAACAAGAAGAAAAACAATGTTTATACAAAATTAGTTGACTTGCAAACAGGTTTTGTTTTAGACCTAGCTGGTCCAAGTCTTCTGTATTGCTATACTGTGCCTAATCTGACACAATGCCATGCAATCAGGGAAGAACTTTAGCTTGCTCCAAGTCTGTCTTCCCGCTAAATCATCGCCTAACATGACGTAACATACCTCTCTCAGCGGCAGCTTTTTGTTTCTGCAGTAATTTATACAAATCCTGATCCATCGTCTGTCCCGTGTCACCCTCATCGTCCAACATATCCCCTGTGGAGTGACTTCGAGGTTTACGTAACATTGATCTAAAATTAGATTCTGGATCATTTGAGTCTGACAACGATCTTGGTTTTCGTTCGGCAGGTTTACGTAAATGAACGCCAAATGTGTGCGATTTTTTCTCATCTTCATTCTCTGTTCCATTGTCGTCTTTTGATGGAGATGGTTTTATGGATTTCTGTAATGCGTGTCAATTCAGTTATTTCAGCAAATGTTTCTGGGGAAATGTTCCCAGTTTTTCTTAGAAATGTAAAATAATATCGCTGGTCAGGGTTATGGTTCATTTCCAAATTAACAATCAAGAGGAGATTTTTTGTATGTATAGCTGATAGCATGGTTTCGAGTGAAATTTGGGAAAAGCATGCACGAGTGAGTTTTTCGAAGACGATCAAAATTACACGAGTCTTTGAAAACTCACGAGTATACGTTTTTCCAAATTTCACTCGAAACTTGGAATTTCACTTGTTTTTATACTATTTTCACTTTTTGCACTGTATTTCATTTTTTGCACTATATTTCACTTTTTGACACTGTATGTATTTCGAAAAAATTGCACTGCTCTTAGGCAATTGATTGAGCGCTCAAAACTAATGCGTATAATATACCACTTGCGGTTATGACTACATTCAAAATTTCTATTTAGGGTTGGGATCTGGTTGGGTTTAAGAAACATAAAATAATTGTAAAAAATTATCAATTAAAATACAATTATCAATGATACTTTAAAAATGATGCCATATTTACAACCATATAAGCTGTAAATATGGCGTCATTTTTAAAGCATCATTGATAATTGTATTTTAATTGATAATTTTTTACAATTATTTTATGTTTCTTAAACCCAACCAGATCCCAACCCTAAATCCAATTCTAACCGTGCATGTCCGCCACATTCAGAGTCTTAAAATAATTGACGAAAAACGGTGTTTTGCTGTAGCTTTAAAAACTGCATTTTTTCAGAAACTCGGGCTTTCCATCCACCTCGGAATGATAAACAAAAACTTTTTTTAATCCAATACTTACTAAAACATCTCTTAAATTGTCCATAGCAGAACCTTCACCTTCCACGTCGACCGGTGACGGTGTTGAAGCCTGTATGAAAAGATAATCATTTGACTTTATTCTGGTGTTTCTACTGTTTCATTAAAACAACTAAGAAATCAGAAAATGATGTAAATTCTTTTTGGCCGCCATCTACTGGCCCATTTCCACTCGGGAACATTCTCCGCAGGAAGAAAATTTTGTAAAATGTTGATTGGCCGACACAAATTTTCCGTTGGAAAACCAATCTAAGTTGAAAATATTCAACTTTTAACAATGAAATGATATTTTCGGAAAACTTTCTGTCCGTGGAAATTTTTCCTGAGTGGAGTTTTTCTTGAGTAGACAGTGTGGAATTATTTACAATATACCATAGGAGAAGATGTAAGAAGCATGAAAATACTTAAGGTAAGGATGTGATAAGATTTTACCTGACGTGGAATAGTTTTCTTGAGTTCAACTTTGCCATTTTTAATTCTCTCCATCATTTCAGACATTGCCTTTACGCGTGGATCTTCTTTTATTGATTTACCTGATTTAGCTGATATGGAATAAAGGTATGCTTGTGTACATTTTATATATTTGAGTTAATTTCGTATTTTACTGTATATAGTTGCTTTATAAAGACTTTTACTCTCATTTCAACTTTCTTTGGAAAGATACAAAGGGCCTTCGCTCGAAATTTCTATCAATTATCAAATCAGAGTTTCTTCTCGTTTCTCTATATTCATTCTTGACTTTTCGACAGTCCGTTCCAAAGCGAGATGAGGTAATCTCCGCATCTTACTGGCCAGTTCAACAGCCAATCCTATACATACTTGTGAGACAAGAATTCTCGCTCTAGCATAAACTGCGACCAGGCGTTAAACTACCAAAACTTTCAAACTGTCATTGAAAGGAAAGTTGAGACTGAGAGTAAGAACTTTAAACAACAACTTACTTTTCTTTAGGCCCCTTTTTCCTCCAGAGGAGACAATTCCGACGAATTTCCTGCGAAGTAAGTATTGATTCAGTTAATAACGCTTACTGTCGTTGCAATAGAAGTGTTGATAAAATATTGCAACAATTCATTACCTAACATTGATCAATTCATTTGGTCAAAAAATTGCTCAACTTCCTGTTTACTGGCATGCTTGTTCCCAATTGGTCAATCGGTCACTGAAACGCAAAGCCATTGGTTGATTCAAAGACACAGGAAGTTGATCAATTTTTCAACGAATGAATTGATCAGCTCTAAGTAATGAATTCATGCGATATTTTATCAACACTTCCATTGCAACGACAGTAATAATATAAACGTTACGAAGTAATTCCGCGCGAAGTTGAAAAGTTCATGATTCACAAACCAGTTTATCATCTGAGCTTTTCAATGACTGCTTTCCTCTAGTAACCAATTAGAGACTTCGTTTCCAAACCTGCTTGTGAGTTTAACCAAAAGTTGAAATCGATTGTAATGAGAAACTTACTTCAATAACTGAGATGGGGCGGGGGGTGGGGGAGGAGGAGGGGGTAATGGGGGCGGTGGAGGGGCACCAGGTGGTTCTTGAGCTTTCTTGAGGAGTTCCTCAAACCTTTTGGCTGAACGAAAAACAAATGAGAAAATCGTTAATAATGGCCCAATTACAGGACACATTATAGCATAACAACGTTATAGCATAACTAGTTACAATTCACTGATCAGAATGTTCTATTGTCTATTTGTTTTTTTTTTCGTTGTTTGGGGCTACTAATGTTCTCCATGCCATCCAGTCACTCTGTTTTGACGGAATTTTGTCATTGATGCAAAAATGTATAATCGTTCCTGTCCCAAGACTGGTAAAATCGTTTGTTTTGCCATTGTTCTTTGCTAACCTTTTGTTTCTGCTTCGCTCTTAAGTTGTTGGGCTTGAGTTAATCTGCTCTCTAAAGTTTCCATCCCCTGCGCGAATGTATTGATCTTTTCTTCCAAACCTAAAAGTTTTTAAAAGTAATTGTCGGGTACGATAATTCACGACTATCCACTGAAGTCGGTGCTTCGACGGTAATTTCAATGTGCTGGAGCCGGCACAAAACCAAAATAGTTATTTAAGATAAAGTATATTGTGAGTATTATGGTGGACGTGAAGTTTTCTGAATGAAACTACAAGTTGGAACCCAATACACCTAGAATCCACAAGTACCAGACCGTGTTGCTGACGTATATCGCACCCTGATCGTTATAGGCACAACTGGAGCATTGAGCAGGGATAAAATTGGGCCCAATCTCGCACATATACAACTCTTACTACAGCGTGTGCTTCTACTTACTTTTTAGTTTCTGTACATCATTTGACGAGGCCAGCTCATCTTCGAGTTCTTTCACCTGTCATTTTATATAAAGAGAATCTCAGCAGATTCGACTAAAATTATTGCTTTATCATTTTAAGTGAATACCATCAAAATCGCCAATCTATTCCTCTTCGGTCAATCTATCGAGCTCCTAGACTCGAATCATCTGACGTCCATCTATCAACCACCCTTCATACGTTTGACTTGATCAGCAATTATTATCGTCTTTACTTCTCTATCTTATATCTTCAACTGATAAGGCTTTTGATCATTTGAGGTTTCTCGTCTGGTAATCAGTTGTTATTAGACTGATTTAGAAAACACGACGCGAACTGAAAGACGCTCCTTCGAAACAAAGAAATTCTTCATGCAAAACAAAAAGTTTGAATAATTTGTGGTCCCAGGGGTATCCTCAACGTTAAACTAAGATTTTCACGTCATTGGAGCAACATGAATGCAATTGTTGCGACGTTGGAGGAGTTAAATAAAATCTGTCTCATAGCAGACACCGGATCGTTTTTCCCGAACTTAGCAGTTTGTAAGATTATTTTAAAAAGCTTCAATATATTACAGTAATCAAGTCCCTTTTGCCTCGTCGTCTTTTGTAACTCTGTCTATTTAAGATCTGTGTATCAACCATCTGTATTCAATTTATGTATAGTCAAACCTATCCTAGCTTACGGAGACCTCTCAATTAGAGAGATTCGATTCAACACTACGTCGTTACATTTTCACCTAATATCAATGACTCCTTTTAACTACAACTTTAGTGACTTCTATTTAGTACTTCGTTCTATAGAATGCTGGGTTTGTTTATCAATGACTCCTCTTAACTACAACTTTATAGTGATTTCTATTTAGTGCTTTAGTGACCTCTATTAAGTACTTCGTTCTCTAGAATGCTGGGTTTGTTTACCAATGACTCCTCTTAACTACAACTTTCGTGACTTCTATTTAGTACTTCGTTCTCTAGAATACTGGGTTTGTTTACCAATGACTCCTCTTAACTGCAACTTTTGTGACTTCTATTTAGTACTTCGTTCTCTAGAATGCTGGGTTTGTTTATCAATGACTCCTCTTAACTACAACTTTATAGTGATTTCTATTTAGTGCTTTAGTGACCTCTACTAAGTACTTCGTTCTCTAGAATGCTGGGTTTGTTTACCAATGACTCCTCTTAACTACAACTTTCGTGACTTCTATTTAGTACTTCGTTCTCTAGAATGCTGGGTTTGTTTATCAATGACTCCTCTTAACTACAACTTTAGTGATTTCTATTTAGTACTTTAGTGACTTCTATTAAGTACTTCGTTCTCTAGAATGCTGGGTTTGTTTATCAATGACTCCTCTTAACTACAACTTTAGTGATTTCTATTTAGTACTTTAGTGACTTCTATTAAGTACTTCGTTCTCTAGAATGCTGGGTTTGTTTATCAATGACTCCTCTTAACTACAACTTTAGTGATTTCTATTTAGTACTTTAGTGACTTCTATTAAGTACTTCGTTCTCTAGAATGCTGGGTTTGTTTATCAATGACTCCTCTTAACTACAACTTTAGTGATTTCTATTTAGTACTTTAGTGACTTCTATTAAGTACTTCGTTCTCTAGAATGCTGGGTTTGTTTATCAATGACTCCTCTTAACTACAACTTTAGTGATTTCTATTTAGTACTTTAGTGACTTCTATTAAGTACTTCGTTCTCTAGAATGCTGGGTTTGTTTATCAATGACTCCTCTTAACTACAACTTTAGTGATTTCTATTTAGTACTTTAGTGACTTCTATTAAGTACTTCGTTCTCTAGAATGCTGGGTTTGTTTATCAATGACTCCTCTTAACTACAACTTTAGTGATTTCTATTTAGTACTTTAGTGACTTCTATTAAGTACTTCGTTCTCTAGAATGCTGGGTTTGTTTATCAATGACTCCTCTTAACTACAACTTTAGTGATTTCTATTTAGTACTTTAGTGACTTCTATTAAGTACTTCGTTCTCTAGAATGCTGGG